ATGTCACCTTCCAATACCTGTCCGAATAGCCATTCCAATATGCAGTCATAAATGGGTTGACATTATTTATACTGTAGTTTAATAGCAAATAATGAACAAACAAAACACTCACCACACAGTGGTGGGAGGGCTGGCTGCCAGTTGTGGGGGGTCGGAGGGAGGGTAGTAGGGACTTTCAGTGGTGGAGGCAGTGGTATTTAATAACATACATGTTGTTAAGGCATAACGTATGTATTTAGTACAATTTACAACGTTTTCATGTATTTTATGATTGTTCATGGTTCAACAAGTTAAGGAAGCAGTATTGTATTATATTTCCCTACAATATATTGGGGCACCAAACATTCACGGTTTTTCAACATTCGCGAGGCTCTTGATCCCCTAACCCTCGTGAATGTTGAGGGAGACCTGTAGAAGAAAACCCAGAGGGATAAGTATATGTATATACAATGTATATATATATATAAATATATATATATATATATATATATATATATATATATATATATATATATATATATATATATATATATTTTTTCAACAAGTTGGTCGTCTCCCACCGAGGCAGGGTGACCCAAAAAAAGAAAAAAAATCCCCAAAAAGAAAATACTTTCATCATTATTCAACACTTTCACCACACTCACACATTATCACTGCTTTTGCAGAGGTGCTCAGAATACAACAGTTTAGAAGCATATACGTATAAAGATACACACCATATCCCCCCAAACTGCCAATATCCCAAACCCCTCCTTTAAAGTGCAGGCATTGTACTTCCCATTTCCAGGACTCAAGTCCGACTATAAGAAAATAACCGGTTTCCCTGAATCCCTTCACTAAATATTACCCTGCTCACACTCCAACAGATCGTCAGGTCCCAAGTATCATTCGTCTCCATTCACTCCTATCTAACACGCTCATGCACGCTTGCTGGAAGTCCAAGCCCCTCGCCCACAAAACCTCCTTTACCCCCTCTTTCCAACCCTTTCGAGGATGACCCCTACCCCTCTTTCCTTCCCCTATAGATTTATATGCTTTCCATGTCATTCTACTTTGATCCATTCTCTCTAAATGACCAAACCACCTCAACAACCCCTCTTCTGCCCTCTGACTAATGCTTTTATTAACTCCACACCTTCTCCTAATGTCCACACTCCGAATTTTCTGCATAATATTTACACCACACATTGCCCTTAGACAGGACATCTCCACTGCCTCCAACCATCTCCTCGCTGCTGCATTTACCACCCAAGCTTCACATCCATATAAGAGTGTTGGTACTACTATACTTTCATACATTCCCTTCTTTGCCTCCATAGATAACGTTTTTTGACTCCACATATATCTCAACGCACCACTCACCTTTTCTCCCTCATAAATTCTATGATTAACCTCATCCTTCATAAATCCATCCGCCGACATGTCAACTCCCAAGTATCTGAAAACATTCACTTCTTCCATACTCCTCCTCCCCAATTTGATATCCAATTTTTCTTTATCTAAATCATTTGATACCCTCATCACCTTACTCTTTTCTATGTTCACTTTCAACTTTCTACCTTTACACACATTCTCAAACTCACACACACACACACAGTGGACCCCCGGTATTCGATATTAATACCGAAAATATCGAAAAGCAAATCAATTTTCCCCATAAGAAATAATGGAAATCAAATTAGTCCGTGCAAGACACCCAAAAGTATGAAAAAAAAAAATTTACCACATGAAATATTAAGTTTAATGCAATAGAATAATTACAATAACAACAATAACAATCGAATAATAACAATAGAATAATTGACACTTACCTTTAATGAAGATCTGGTGATGATTGATAGGATGGGAGGAGGGGAGAGTGTCGAAGTTATTACTGTTTAGAAGTGAAATCCCCTTCCATTAGGACTTGAGGTAGCAAGTCCTTTTCCGGGGTTACTTCCCTTATTCTTTTAATGCCACTAGGACCAGCTTGAGAGTCACTGGACCTCTGTCACACAACAAATCTGTCCATAGAGCTCTGTACCTCCCATTCCTTTAAGATTTGTCTAAAATGGGCCACAACATTGTCATTGTAATAGTCACCAGCACGGCTTACAATAGCTGTGTTAGGGTGATTTTCATCCATAAAGGTTTGCAGTTCAACCCACTTTGCACACATTTCCTTAATTTTTGAAGTAGGCACAATGGATTCCACAACTGGCATAGGCTTCTCAGGGTTAGCCCCAAACCCTTCAAAATCTTTCTTAATTTCCATACTAATTCTCACCCTTTTTACCACAGGGTTGGCACTAGAAGCTTTCTTGGGGCCCATGGTGACTTATTTTGCAGAAACAAGCACCAAAAACAGTGATAATATGGAATGTACCAAATGTATCCTTAGATGTGTGCATACTGCCTGGCTTGTAAACGCTGGCACACACGGGGCAGTTCAGGCCACACGTGGACACGTCTCGTACGAATCGCATCGAATACCGGGTTTTCGATCGGATACCGAGGCGAAATTTTTGCGTTAAAATGCATTGAATACCGGATACCAATGCCATCGAATACCGGGGGTCCACTGTATATATACAGTGGACCCCCGCCTTACGATATTATTTCATTCCAGAAGTCTGTTCGGGTGCTGTTACCGACCGAATTTGTTCCCATAAGGAATATTGTGAATTAGATTAGTCCATTTCAGACCCCCGAAAAATACACATACAAAAGCACTTACAAAAATACACTTACATAATTGGTCGAGTTGGGAGCTGATCGTAAGGTGGGGGTCCGCTGTATATATTTTTTTTTTCAACAAGTCGGCCGTCTCCCACTGAGGCAGGGTGACCCAAAAAAGAAAGAAAATCCCAAAAAAGAAAATACTTTCATCATCATTCAACACTTTCACCTCACTCATCATAATCACTGTTTTTGCAGAGGTGCTCAGAATACAACAGTTTAGAAGCATATACAAATAAAGATACACAACATATCCCTCCAAACTGCCAATATCCCAAACCCCTCCTTTAAAGTGCTGGCATTGTACTTCCCATTTCCAGGACTCAAGTCCGACTATGTAAAAATAACCGGTTTCCCTGAATCCCTTCAATAAATATTACCCTGCTCACACTCCAACAGCTTGTCAGATCCCAAATACCATTCGTTTCCATTCACTCCTATCTAACACGCTCATGCATGCTTGCTGGAAATCAAACTTGAAATTCTGGAAAGTTTCCAGATATAATAGACACACACAGCTCACAGAAGATGTAAACAGAGTGGCACACGGTGACTGAATTAGCGAGTTAGGTGGGGGGGGGGAGCTGTATAACGAGTTTTGGACATAATTTGAAATGTCCATATTAGCAAAATGCCGTAAAGCGGGGCCCTACTGTATATATATATGTATAGGTACTTTTTTCAACACGTCAGCCTTCTCCAACCGAGACAGGGGGGGCCAAAAAAAGAAAGACTTTCACCATCATTCACACATAATCACTGTTTTTTCAGAGGCGCTCAGACATGAGAGTTCAGATGTCACTCCAAACAGCAAATATCTTAAACCCCTCCTCTGAAGTGCAGGCATTGTGCTTTCCTAAGAGAGATGGTGTTGGCGATTGTGAGCCAGAACTGGTGTCCATCAGGAAGCTGCAGATGGCTGCCTCAACTCCCCCAACTGAATGACCATCTCACACCAAGGCATGTGACTTGGCGAGAGATGGAAGACATTTTTTTTTATCAAACCGGCCATATCCCACCAAGGCAGGGTGACCTAAAAAAAAGAAAACAAAAGTTTCTCTTTTTAAATTTAGTAATGTATACAGGAAAAGGGGGTTACTAGCCCCTTGCTCCCGGCATTTTAGCTGCCTCTTAGAATACGCATGGCTTACAGAGGACGAATTCTGCTTCACTTCCCCATGGAGATAAGAGGAAATAAACAAGAACTAGTAAGAAAATAGAAGAAACCCCAGATGGGTGTGTATATACATGCTTGTACATGTATGTATAGTGTGATCTAAATGGAAGTATTAGTAGCAAGATGCACCTGAAACCTTGCATATTTATGAGACAGAAAGACACCAGCAATCCCACCATCACGTAAAACAATTACAGGTTTCCGTGTCACACTCACTTGGCAGGACAGTAGTACCTCCCTGGGTGGTTGCTGTCTACCAACCTACTACCTAACGAAGACATATTCTCCATTATTCAAGCACACAATGTCTTTCCAAAATTGCTCTGATATCACAAAGAGATTACCCTCTGACTGCAGCATCCCATCTGTCATTCAATGTAGGCACTGCCATTCCCACCACTAAGACTCAGTCATCCAATCCCTCTCCATGCTCTTTACATGCCCAAACCACATCAACAAACTCTCCTGTCCTTGAAGTTTTATGCTCTGAATTCTCTGCATAACATTCACATTATACACAGCACTCAGACATAACATTTCCACTGCCTCTAGCCTCCTCGCTGTAATGTTTAAGGCCCATGCCTTGCTCATATAAAAGTGTTGATACCATTATTCTCTGGCATATTCACCATCTTGCCTCCATAGATAAACTTCTTTCTTTTCACAAATGCCTCAACACACCATGTAACTTTTACCCCTCCCCCCATCTGTCTATAGTTCACCTCACCTTTCATGGACCTACCTGTAGACATATCCACACCCAAATTTTTAAACACATTTTTTTCCTCTGCACTCCCTCCCTCCAATATGATACTCATCCTTTCACTACTTAGACTTTTCATTACTCATATTATCTTGCTCTTTTCTATGTTAGCTTTCAATAACATGACAGCCATCTCCCACCAAGGCAGGGTGACATACCCTCACTTATTCATCCACCAAACTTTGCAATATCTCTTCAAAATTTCCGAAAAGAACTGTTATTGGCAAAGAGCAACTATGGCACTTTTATCAGATTCAGTATCTTGTAATCCCACCTCTCCCCAAATACTACATTTTCAACACAACACCTACCTATAAATATATATGTGTAAAAACTGCATACCTGTTCTCTAAGAAGGTTTCTAACAGTTTCAATGGTCTTGGTTACAGCCTTTGCCAGTGGTCTCATGAAGGAGCTTTCTGCCTCACGATTCATAATACTGCTTCCAGCTGCCAAGCACTATACAAGAAATTTTATATAAATCTTTCAAATATTACTTACTATGAAAATTCAACCTCCTCTTTATTCACTGGCCCGTAAGAGTTTAATTTAAATATAAACTTTTCTGTGTCATGAACGAATATGCAAGACAAAAAAATCACAAAATGAATTTAACCCTTTCAGGGTCCGTGCTGTAGTGCTACGGCTTTGAGTTGAGTGTCCAAACCGTAGATCTACGCCATGAGCTCAGCTCACTCTGATAATCTGTGAGCAGTAAATTTTGGCCTAGATACGAGAGAATACACCTATGTGGCATGTGTGCACCACATAAAACAAATCCTGCAGCACACAGTGCATAATGAGAGAAAAAACAGACCATAATTTTGTATTAAAACAGCGACTTTGCAGTGTTTTCTCGAATGTTTTTTATAGCTGTATTAGCAATTTCTTGGTCTCATTTGATAGAATGGAAGATATGTTACACAAAAAAATATGATTTTGATTTGTTTTACTACTGGAAATGGCTTGAAATTGAGCTCAAAGTAGTGGAAATGTTAAATTTTTGCCAAAGTTCGAGAGTAAACAAATGACCTCACACGTCTAATACACGCCTGCTGGTGGGTCTAATATATGTTCACAAATGTGCTGATATTATTTATACAATTATTACAATAATGCATAACAGTAAATCTTCTATTTTTTTGGTTTGAATAAAAATTCATTATGTGAATAAAAAATTAAAATGGAATTCATTTGTAAAGCCTGAAAACGTAACTAATGAACAGAGGAAATGTTAGTTTAGTGCCAGGAATGCCTGCATTGTTTATTCTGGACCCCATTTTGAAACTGGAATATTTTGAACTTTGCATTAAATTGGCCAAATAATCAATTTCCGATCACTTTATTTTGTAGTTGAAACAGTCGACTTGGTGATTTCTTGTGCTCAATCAATAGAATAGAAGTAATACTAGTGAAATAGCTAAGAATTTGGTCAACTGGAATAATGTAATTGGCCTAAAATGGGAGTCAAAATCGGCAAAATCGCCGATGCATAAACCTCACTGACACATCAAAATTTGCAAGAGCATAATTTTGTCAATTTTCCATCAAATTTCATACTTTTTTGTTTTATTACCTTCAGAAAAAGCTTCTCTACCATTTCATAAGAAAAAATAACAAAATTTTGTTTTTTGAAAATTCTTGGACCCTGGTGCACACTTTGAAATTTGGCCTCTGGACCCTGAAATATATATAAATTTTATATATGTATATATAATTTTTTTTTACAATATTTATATATGTTGCTTAACAAATAAGCAGATTTTCAACATACCTCTGCACCAAACCACAGCTGTCCTGCTAAATTCTCCTGCATCACATCGTCGGGGAATTTCACCCGAAAATCCCGACTTGCACGCTCATGTAGGATTATTTCATCCATCATCTCTATGCATATATTAAGAACCTGAAATATTGCAATATCACTGTGGCTTTTAATTCAATAATATTCTACAATATATTTATATGGAAGACAAAACATGGAAGAAATAAGGGTGCCTATTCCTCCATTGACAACATTTTTTTTTATACTATTTTACATACTATACAGTGATTGTAGACAAATAAAGATACACAGCAATTAGGCAACATTTATCAAATGAGCTCAAAAACAAAGAAAACATAAAAGACAAAAAGAGTAAAATAAAACTTTTTTTTTTTTTTTTACAGAAAGTGATTGGACGAAGTATGGAAGAAGTGAATGTACAGTGGTACCACGGGATACAAACAGCTCAAAACTCGAACAATTATGTAAGTGTATTTATGTAAGTGCTTTTGTAAGTGCATTTTTTGGGGGTCTTAAATGGATTAATTTAATTTACATTATTACTTATGAGAACAAATTCCTTTGGTATCGGCACTCGAACAGCCTTCTGGAATGAATTAAGTTCATATCCTGAGGTACCACTGTATATTTAGATATCTGAGAATGTACTTGTTGGCAGATGGGTCTGAGAAAGATGAGGTGAACCATAAAGCAGGTGAGGCATCTGTGGAATTAAATAAATTTATCTACAGAGGAAAAAACAAGAGGAAAGTACCAAAGCAAACTGGTACTAACACTTTTATACAGGTGTGAGTCTTGAGCTTTTAATATTGCAGCAAGTACTTTTATCTTTATTTCTTCTTTTGTGAGAAGTGCTAAACCTATGCAGGTCAGTCAGAACCTGGTGAATGGGAGGCAATCAGGTTTGATGAATGGAAGGATCAAGAGTCAGTCAATGGCATCAATGTACCTTCCTTGAGCCTGTGAGTATGTATCTTCCAAATACTCTTTCCGGCACCCTTAGTCCTGACTTCATGCTGGTGCAACACAACTTACCTGAAATGCTTTGCATAACCATGGGCTTTCTGCATGCATTCAAGTGTCACCCATTTCTGTATAAGCAATGTATCATGTGGAAATAAACTTGAATTTCAATTTGTATGGTTGGGTGTCCATTTAATTTTGATTTGGCACATGGCACTCACATTAAAAACCATCCACAGTATTTCATTCAAAATAGGCTTACTGGATTTTCCATGTTCAAATAGGCTTACTGGATTTTCCATGTTCAAATAGGCTTACTGGATTTTCCATATTTAAATCTTTCTATATTTTTATTATTATTATTATTATTAACACACTGGCTGATTCCCACCAAGGCAGGGTGGCCCGAAAAAGAAAAACTTTCACCATCATTCACTCCATCACTGTCTTGCCAGAAGGGTGCTATACACTACAGTTTTTAAACTGCAACATTAACACCCCTCCTTCAGAGTGCAGGCACTGTACTTCCCATCTCCAGGACTCAAGTCCGGCCTGCCGGTTTCCCTGAATCCCTTCATAAATGTTACTTTGCTCACACTCCAACAGTACGTCAAGTATTAAAAACCATTTTTCTCCATTCACTCCTATCAAACACGCTCACGCATGCCCACTGGAAGTCCAAGCCCCTCGCACACAAAACCTCCTTTACCCCCTCCCTCCAACCTTTCCTAGGCCGACCCCTACCCCGCCTTCCTTCCACTACAGACTGATACACTCTTGAAGTCACTCTGTTTTGCTCCATTCTCTCTACATGTCCGAACCACCTCAATAACCCTCCCTCAGCCCTCTGGACAACAGTTTTGGTAATCCCGCACCTCCTCCTAACTTCCAAACTACGAATTCTCTGCATTATATTCACACCACACATTGCCCTCAGACATGACATCTCCACTGCCTCCAGCCTTCTCCTCGCTGCAACATTCATCACCCATGCTTCACACCCATATAAGAGCATTGGTAAAACTATACTCTCATACATTCCCCTCTTTGCCTCCAAGGACAAAGTTCTTTGTCTCCACAGACTCCTAAGTGCACCACTCACCCTTTTCCCCTCATCAATTCTATGATTCACCTCATCTTTCATAGACCCATCTGCTGACACGTCCACTCCCAAATATCTGAATACATTCACCTCCTCCATACTCTCTCCCTCCAATCTGATATCCAATCTTTCATCACCTAATCTCTTTCCTGTATTCACTTTTAATTTTCTTCTTTTGCATACCCTACCAAGTTCATCCACCAACCTCTACAACTTCTCTTTAGAATCTCCCAAGAGCACAGTGTCATCAGCAAAGAGCAACTGTGACAACTCCCACTTTATGTGTAATTCTTTATCTTTTAACTCCACGCCTCTTGCCGAGACCCTCGCATTTACTTCTCTTACAACCCCATCTATAAATATATTACTAATGTCAATATAAGTTAGTTTAAAGGGATATTTAAAGAGATACAGTGCACCCCCGGTTATCAGCCATAATCCGTTCCAGGTCGGCCAATAACCGAAATGGCTGAAAACTGAATTAATATTTCCCATAGGAATTAATGGAAATACAATTAATCCGTTCCAAACAAAAATATTCACAAAAATAATTTCTTTAACAATTATGTAAGTATTACATACCTTTATTGAAGGCTAATGCAAGCTTCTGGAAGATAGGGGGGAGTTAGTGTTTGGAAGGGGAATCCCCCTCCATAAAGACTTAAGGTAGCAAAGCCTTCTCTGGGGTTACTTCCCTTCTTTGTCTTTTAATGCCACTAGGACCAGCTTGAGAGTCACTGGACCCCTGTCTCACAAAATAACTGTCCAGAGTGCTCTGTTTCTGGCATCTCTAAGATTTCCCTGAAGTGGGACAGGGTTTTGTCACTAAACATGTTGCAGATATGGCTTGTTTCAGCTTTGTCAGGGTGGTGTTTCTCTACAAAAGCTTGCACCCTAGTCCACAATACACACACCTCTTTAATCTCTGAAGAAGGCACCTCCGTCACTCCCTCTTCCTCCTCCTCTGAAGCAAGTTCCTCAGCTGCAGTCTGTTACTCTTCAGTAGTTAGCTCTTCCCTGTGGTCCTCCACCAACTCTTCCACATCCTTGCCACTCACCTCCAACCCCAGGGACTTCCCCAGTGCCACAATAGAGTCCACAGGGTCAGCAGGGTCAGGGTCAGCCTCAAACCCTTCAAAATCCCTCTCTTGGACACAATCTGCCCAGTTTTCTCCAAGCAGATTTCAAAGCCCTGGAAGTCACTCCCTCCCAAGCCTTACCTTATGCAATGGAGGATAGTGAAGTGATTCCTCCAGAACTCTCTTAGGGTCAACTGAGTGTCCGAGGTCACTTCAAAGCACTTTTGAAACATTACTTTTTTGAAGAGTTTTTTGAAGTTAGAAATAACCTGCTGGTCCATGGGCTGGAGGAGTGGTGTTACGAGGCAAGAACTTCACTTTTATAAAATTGAAGTCCCCAAACACTTGGTCTTCCAAGTCTGGAGGATGTGCAGGAGCACTGTCCAGTAACAGGAGGTAACTGAGTGGCAATTTCTTTTCCAGGAGGTATTTTTTCACACTTGGGCAAAACACATCATTAACCCACTCTTTGAAAATTTGCCGTGTGACCCATACCTTATGATTAGCTTTCCACATCACACACAATCTACTCTTCACGACATTGTTTTTCTTGAACACTTTGAAATCCCCACTAGCATTACCACACACAGGCTTGTGTCTTGGCAGTGCCTTTTCCTCCTGGGTAATGTAGGTCCTGTTTGGCATTTTCTTCCAAAACAGGCCTGTTTCGTCACACCTTAACACTTGTTGGGGTTCGAATCCTTCAGCCTTTACATAGCCCTGGAATTCGTGAACATACTTTTCAGCCACACATTTGTCAGGACTTGCAGCCTCACCATGCCTTACAACACTGTGTATGCCACTACGCTTCATAAATCTATCAAACCATCTTTTGCTGGCCCTAAATTCACAAACTGCAGCACTTGTTCCAGGCATTTTCTTTGCAAGATCCTCATGCAATTGCCTTGCCTTCTCACAAACAATAGACTCCACAACACTGTCTCCCACTAATTCTTTTTCCTTAAGCCACAATAATAATAACAACTTTTCCATCTCTTCCATTATTGGTGGCTGTTGTTTAGTTAGACAAGTTACTCCTTTTGCAACATTAGCATCTTTGATTTGTTCTTTCTTTGCCAGGATGGATGTAATTGTTGATTTATTCGTGCTGTACATCCTGGCAAGTTCCACCACCTTCATACCACTTTCAAACTTTTCTATCACTTCACGCTTAAATTCCATGGTGTTTCTCACTTTCTTTACCACAGGAACTTTCTTTGGAGCCATGGTTACTTATTTGACAGTTGCACTGCAAAAAAAAACCCCACTAAAAACAATGGAAAACAAGCGAAATGTTTGGATGTATGAGCAGAAGCTTCCTCAGCCACTGAGAGAGTTAGTTTAATATGTTTATTATGCACCCCATACCCATCCTGTGGGCAGTAGTCAAAAGATTACAGAGGTACATAATTGGTCCAGGGACTGGACTCCAAAGTTTTGATAGCTGAGCAAGTTACAAAGGTAATGAACTAGATCTGGTCATAATCATGACACAGAGAGAAAGCCAAACTGACGCACAAGTGGCCCCAGCTGGTGGATGGACGTGTCCCAAACGGCTGATAACCAAATTAACGGCCGATAACCGGGCGCTGAAAAACCGGCCGATAACCGAGTTGGCCGATAACAGAACCGGCTGATACCTGAAGGCCCACTGTACATAATTATAAAAATCTAAGTGATTTTGGACTCGGGTGATAGTTCAGGTGAAAAACACAAAGTGAACACTCGCTCCAAACACAAAGTAGCAAATTTCTGCCACAAAGTGAATTCCAACTGATATTGGGCCAACCCATATAAACAACTTCTCACAAAGTGTATCTGCATAAAACACGGGGAACCTGTACCTACCACTGAAGTTACAGGTGTTTACTATTCCAATTTTTTATACTTTAAAAAAGTTTCATACTTTATAATAATTAACCCTTTCAGGGTCAAGAGGCCCTCTCCTAAACTTGAACGTTCTCAGGGTCGAAAAT